CGCCTGTCCACGAAGCAATTGATAAAAAGCCTCGTAATATAAAAGGCGATGAAAGGCTGGACGTAAACGTGACACGATTTGAGTGTGAGACTCTCACTTTCTCAGTGATGATCACGCTCGTTTGGAACATGTGACATTGTTATGTGATGTGTCTTTATTCGTAAATTTAAAAAATCATTATTATGAGATATTGTTTGAAAATGATTGCTTTCATTAACTAAATTTCATGTTAATCACTATCATAAACTTTTTTTTGTTATCAAATACCCGCAGTTTCTATTTTACGATTAGTTTATTTTTCTTACTCCAAAACATTCAAGTTTGCCTAAAACTTTAACAAAACTTTAGCAAAACATCTCCGAAATCTTTAGTTAATTAAATCAATAAATTTTAAAAACAGTTATGATTAATTTTTGGTGTGTGAACCATGAATATTAAAGTTAATATTCGATTGCGAAAAAGTATACGCACTGACATAAAACACGTTGTGACATAATAAGACACACACATCACGTTAATAGGAAAATTATGCAAAATTCTGCACTAGTTACTGCAACATCACATGGCAACTTAGAGCTTTTTGTTTTCAATTCGCACTAATTACCTCTACATTGTCTATAGTGTCGTTTAAATGCAGTGATTATAAACTCTGTGGTGCCGCCATCATGCGTAGTCTTTTCCCGCCATAAATCAATTTCATTGTGCAGGTGTCAATAAGTATTCGCATGTCTCTAGGTGGCTTAGAAATTCTTTCAAGCGTGTTCTTTGTGTGTGTAGTATTTTTCTTTTAAACCCTTTGTTTAAATCAAAAATTGTAAGTACTAATAAACACATTGCATAAAAAAGAACATTATAAGTAAACGAAGTCGAATATAAAGGCGAAAATGGACGACAAAAATCGCAGCCATAAAACTCTTTGTGAAAATGAACTTTTAGAAATTTTGATATTTTATATAACGCAGTAGTAATACAAGACTATTAGACATAATGACTCAAACAGTAATATTAATGCAAATTAGCTTGTAATTTAAAATAATAGTTTGTTGCGTATGGAGTATTTCTTATGTTCGAAGAACAAGCACGTGCCGCGTTCCTTCAAGTTACATCACTGACGGAAATGGATTCATAAACCTTGACATTGTTAGCACTTTCTCCTTGAGAAGTGATCAGTCTGCACTGTGACTGTACTTCGTAAAACTGGAGGCGTTATTAGTTTGTCTTAAAACATTTATAGTTGCTCCAAATATTATAACTTAAAATGTGGTTACATTAACCTTGCATTGAAGGACAGTGCTTTTCATACTGTACTCTATAATTTCCCGCGCTGTTGGTTTATACGCGATACGTACCGAAAGTGGTTATCTAAGGAGATAGACCATAGAAGCGCCATCGTCAAATTACGTAACATGTTACATGGTAAGTAATACGCGAGTTTAAACATAGATGACCTTTGACTGTCAAAGCGTTACGTGCAATGTGTTTTCTACGATCCACTGTTTACCGTATTTGGTAATAGAAAATAGTTGCGACATTAGATATTTGACGTTTGGCGTTGGTTGACATTATTATTTAGATTTTAGGGCACGTAATGGCTGGGTGGGCGTAGTTGCTTCGATATTGGCTTCGATGCCGCGGGCTGTGGGTTTGATTTTTACCCGGGGCAATTATTTATATAAAGTAAAGTAACAGCATATAATATGTCACACGGTTTAGCAAAAGCTTCCTCTGTACTAAGGGCATAAGTTGGTAGTCCACCACGTGGCCACTACAGATTGGCAGACTGAACTTTTATCTTCTAAATACTTTTCTTTTATTATTTCGAAAATATGCAGGTTTCCTCACGCTCTTTTCCTTAAAGTTGGAATCTATAATTCTATTGGTAACGACGACATCGGGATTTGGACTCAGGTTACTTTAAAATTATCACGGCTTACATTATTTTTATGAGGTAGCAAGAATTAAAAAAAAAAGTAAAGTAACAGCCTATACATGTCCCACTACTGGGCAAAGGCCTCCTCTATACAGAGGGTATCAGGGCATAGTCCACCACGCGGCCTCACTGCGGATTGGCGGACTTCACATATCTTCGAAATATATATTTTTTTTTGTTATTATTTCGAAAATATGCAGGTTTCCTGACTATGTTTTCCTTCACCGCGGAGCGCGTGGTAAGTCAGCACTTAAAGTTAAAAACTTCATTGGTGCCGGCACCGGGGATCGAACTCAGGTTGCTCGAGTAAATTGAATTAAAGGCGAGCGCCCGGACACTGAGCTATCACGGCTCAAGAATTTTTTAAATAAATTTAAATAAATAAATATTTTAGGACACATTTTTTCTCAACGTTTTCTAGCCCCAAACTAAGCAACGTTTGTACTATGGGTAATAGATAACTGATAAACATACTTAAACATATTTTCTTTTGTAAATAAATACACATTGCTGGGCAATATACACAGATATAAACACCCAAACACTGGAAAAACACTATGTTTATCACACAATATTTTTCCAGTAGTGGGTATTGAACCTCTGGCGCAGGAGGCAGGTACACTACCCACTGCGCCATTCGGGTCGAATTGTTTCGGATATGGGTATTTCTTATTTATTGAAAACATTTCTAGAACATAGGATAGTTAAAAATATAATAATTCGAGTAAAGAGTATTGAGTGCGAAACCGATATTTGAAATATGCTAATGTCTTTTATAACAACTTAATAGTAATCAATTCCTAAATCTAGTCTATGCCGATAGGTTTTTTGCAAACTCTTTTGAGTCTATCAAAAATATGTTATAACTTTTCCATGTATACTGGTAGGACCACGCAACAGCTTTGGCAGTTGCACAAATGAACTTCAGGACAGAAGACTGTCGTGAAGTGGAAGTAACATACTTCAGTGTTTCGTTTGGTGAGTGAGGTAGCCGGGGCCCACTATGTTAAAAGTTGGCAACGCATCGGCAACCCTAGGCGTGTTGCAGAAGTCGGTGGTTATCTTTTAACATCAGGTGAACCGCCCGCTCGCTTGCCACCTTCTCACATTAAAAGAAACCTTGCCGAGATCTTTTTAAGATGTGTACGAGGCGTGGGGCATAGAGCGTAGAGGTATTCGTTTCTCTAGTCTATGCGAGCGCGCGTCGTGCCCGCGAGTGACGTAAGCGTTGCGGTCGCCGCTCACGCAACCGCCATTGTACGCTGTCAGCCGACGACCCGAGGGAATCCGAAGAGACTATGTCCTCAAGCGAAATCGGGCTGAAACGAAGTGCCTTCTTCCGGATGATGAAGATGGTCGGCCGTGCATTTGTTGCGAGCACATAAGGAAAACCGTACAGTTATCGACTCTATTTTGCTTGCAAATCAAATTTATTAGTTTTTTCAGAACTATCTCTTTAAAGTGTTCTGTTAACTATGTTATGTTTTCTCCGAATCGGAATCTGCTTACAAATATTGCATTAGTATTGGAGACTTTTTGTAGGACAGAGGATGAAAATAATCTTAGTAATTAAATTTTTTATGTGTGAAGTTGTCAGGCGGTTAACCTACACCTACACTCATGCAATTATGAAATCCGTTGTCTTTCGCACTAGAAGCTTCTTTTTTAACATAACATTTCAGTTTTCTTTAAATTGTCATATAACTTTTAAAAAATACAATACGTAACGCATTATTTAAAACTACATATTACTTAAAAGTTATAAACTACCAGCTCGAGCCAATTAAGTTCAAACCATATTCAGACAATGATGGGACCATGATATTCACACTTTCATATCGCCCTAATTATCTGCATTTCAATTATTTGTTATAACATACAGCAGAATATGCGGCATGTTAGGAAGAAAGCTCTGGCATAAATTGAGATGCCACAGGCGTTATTTGCGAATTGATATGTAATACTGTTCCGGTGCTCAGATTGATGCTGCACTTGGAATAAATTACGCGCCGACCCGCTTTCAAGTAAAAGTAAGTTGTTTAACGGTAGGAATGAACTGAATTTGGAAACATGTAAATAGAAGAAACATATTGTTACGTTTACTTCCGACCTACGTTTAGAGTATACCAAACATATCAATCGGAAACAAATAAAAAACAACAAAGCGAATTAATTAAAACGTAAATAAACTATCTCTTATAATACTTCATTGGATATATTTTTGGCAGAAGACAATCGACTTTTTCATCCGTGTATCTTGATTTCTAATCAAAAATTTTTAATCGCCCCAAAGAGACTTGAATTTAACGGCCAGTAAAACAAGATAAATATAGCTTAGTCATTAAGTATTTAGACCCCTATTTTGGCGATGTACAAGGAAATGAACATGAAAATTCTTCGAGGGAAAAGCATTTGCCGAAATAGTTAATTTTTTATTACTTTCATAATTTTCGATCAATTGCTGACACATTTGTACAACTAAACTTCAGATTATAATCTTCACGGTGCTATTGACACAATAACGTTTTTACTAAAAAAACGATAAACGATATACGATAAAATATGTGTCGTAATACTTTTACAAGAACCATTGTAATGTTTATATTAGTATAATTTCGCATTCAAGGTCTCCTTAATATTATTATATTAATGTAATTAATATAACAAATCTAATAAATTTTAACAAGCTTGTTAAATAATATTTCGGTTATCTAAAAAGTTAAAACATGAATAATAAAGTTTGGAAAATAAGTAAATGGGTATTGCTCCGCTGAACGCGATCCATTCTTTGAACTTTTGCATTTAATTAAATTTTCTTTGATGATTATGATTACGTTATTATTCTAAGATTTTTAGGTATAACCACGAGATAATTTTGTGTAGTAAGAATTGAAATTATTTCTTGCAAGAAGGGTCCTAATAATAATGACTGTGTATATGTAGTTCAACTTTCTTATGGAAATTTCTTCCTTAGTTATATAAAATAAATTACGTTTTATATGAATTTGTATGTAAACAGAAATTTTTAAATATTTGTATTTCATTTATAGGAAACATTGCAATAACTTACCAATGATTTTGTAAAAGCCATCTTATGAAGTTTTGACGGCTTATATCTGTAAAATATAAATGGAATATTTTAAATACATAAGCTAGCATAAGCTAAAATTTTTTTTAATTTTTCATTTATTGGCACACTCCATTTATTTTTATTCTTAACTTAGAATCATAACGTATTTTTGTATTATTTTTCTTAACAATTGATTTGCTGACTTTAGGTTAATCTTTAATTAAAAGAGATCTAAAACGTTGTTTTAAAGCAAAACCGTACTAACTTACCAAAAATTCAAACAGATTCCGAAAGCGCACAGATAGTTAATCACAAACTTTTTAACGTTGCGCGGGAAAAAGTTAGATACGTATGTTGGATGCGCGACGGCGCACTGTTAATACGGCCGATGCCGCATCTCCCCTATATATGTCACCCCCCTCTAGCGGCACATCTTAATACATCTTACGTACAATTTTTTTACTTGTACATTTATAATTCTATTAGGAAATAAGAGGCTAATTTACAAAGCACGTAATTGTAATAGCCCATTATGTTTCGTGTTAATTATATCTGCTAGGATTTAAAGAAGAAAAGAGGCAAAGTTTTTGGATGCTTCAAGCATAGAATAATTAATGAAAGGAAATGAAAGGATTAATTTATCACATCTTCATTATTTTTGTGACATATTTAGTTTCGAGTTAAGTCGAGTTTAATGTAATGGATAGAATTACTATAATCTATTAACAATTATTTTCTATGTACTTACAAACATTTCGTGGCGATTTCATATTAACATGATTTATAACAAAAATTAATAAGATTTTATGTCCACTAAAATGTTATGTTCAAATTGTGATGTAACAAAATACATCCCTATAGCGGCTTAGTTTGATCGTATTACATCGGAGAATTTAAATTGTCTAACACTAATAATTTACTACATAGTGTTTTTCGTTAAAGATATTTTGTAGTATTCTGCTTTCACACTATACTGTTTAGTTAGTTTTTAAATACTTATTTTTATTAATAAGCAGTAACTTATTCTTATTTTCAAATTTCTCGTTCCTTTTTAAAAAAAGAAGAAAACCCATTCAGAATGTAGTTATAAATTCTGACAATATGTAGTTATAGAATTACCTTATATTATAAACAGTTAAGTGTTCGGTGTCATCAATATAATGACTGCACGCATAGCTTAATGGTTTCGGTTGTCAGCTTTCCAATTGTCACTGTGCGCCGTGTTGTGGGTTCGGTTCCCACAGATAACATGGTTTTGTGCGTTCCCTAAGTGGTTACTCTGATTATTCGGTGTACGTTGTGTAGATTCTTTTCATGACGGCCAGGCATAGTTTTGTAAATGATTTTTTTGTAAATGAGTAAATATTATATTGTTATGAATATATTTGAGTTATTCGTCATTCATTACGATTTGGAAATGGAATAACCTTGGTACCATATTCCTCGCTGTTCACAGCTCAATCATTTAAAAATGTGCGTTTCAATAAAATTTATGTCAATTGGATGGACTCAAAATCACAAAATTGAATTATTTCAAAGTTGATATACTTCAAATTCTATTCATAAAAACAGATCTGCTAACCCATACGAGTAAAATCTTAACATGGGTACGGTACTACACAAGAATTATTAAGAACTGCGGATAGTTCTTTCTTAGCATGATCAAATAGTTAGTCTTGTTTCAAAAACTCGTCGGACATTACGCATTTTATTATTGACAAGTAGCTAGTGACATTTACTCTGAAAGTTGTTAAATTGTTACATAATCAAAATTCGTTCATTGCTACATGTGGCTCCGTATCTAAACTTTGTGCTAACGAAAGCTTTGTTGTGCTGGTGGACGGGATGAATGTTAAGAATAAGAAAAAAGATCTCTTGCGTAACAATAATAAAGTTTGGACTTATAGATTACACAGTTTAAGATAAATTTAAGCTGACTCTATTTAAACAGAATGCAAAAGTGACATTGCATGACATTTTGCAAAAACACGGGACGAATGTTAAAAGAAATAAAAAAACTTGTTTTCGGCGATCTCTAATTTAGTGTATCTTAAGTAACAATAATATACAATTATGTTTTTAAAAAGTTATATGGATTATCTTCACAGTTTAAGAAAATATTGTTGAAGCTGAATTGTTGCTAAAGGTACAAACGCTATGTAAAATGTCTTCTTGAGAGAAGAAAAAATACTCTCAGAATTTTTCTGCTTAATATTTCTGGTTAGATGGGGAAAGAATTAAATTAAGCCCAATTTTCAAAAGGTTGCCAACGCATTTGGAACCATCGGGTGTAGCAGATATCCATGGGCGGCGGTATTCACTTAACATCAAGTGAACCGTCTGCTTACTCGGCAACTTTTCGCATAAAAAAAAATACCGTCATATAGTTAATATTCGAATTTGTCTTAGATGACAGCTGTTCAATGCGTGCGCCAACTTTATTACCCAGTGTAGAATGTGGAAAATAAGGCTTTTGGCAAGCGTCTCTGCATGTGTAGCACTCTACGCCACAAACCGTTCTCAAATTTCCATTCAATAGTACCTTCGACATTAACCAATAGCATACTCAGTTCAATTTCAACTTTTGAATAAACACGGTCTGTGTACTGTGTGTATGTGGACGAATACAGATTTCAATAGTAGTATTTCTTGAATAGTACTAGGTACTATTGTATAGTAATAACTCCTTAAACGCAGAAGTTCTTTACTTAAAATAAAGACCGAAAATAGCGAGCCGTGAGTAGCTTAGTACTATATTCCGTTTACGAGTCTGAGATAATTAATACATTTTTCTCCTTAATTCTCTGTTACGTAATGAAATAGTTGCGGTCATGGACGAGCGCGCTCGGTGCCGCACTGTGAATAGGTCACGCATTCGATCCTCGCGCTCTGTCTGTCTTTACGTTCGTACTTTACTCAAAGCGTGTAATCCAATCGCTCAAGGTCCTGTAATAAGACTTCCCAGGCATCCCATTACGAAGGCTAAATCTTCCCGCGGTTATTAATGTGAAGAATGATGCATGGGTTAAATCTGAGACTCCTATCGAGATTAAACAACGTATGTCTGAATTAAATCTTATATTACTAATATTGATTATATCTAAATTTTGGGAAAAACAGCACACACGAAGTGTCGCTTAACGAGAGAATCTCCATGACATTTCTACCTTAGTCTTTGTGTCAACAAACATATTTATACCTCATCACACTGTTTTATGATCATCACGATGAAATATTGTATTTCACCTTTATGTAGATATAAAAGAAACAAGTATAACTTATGGAAATTATTTGAATCCACCTATCTATATTATAAAGAGGAAAGATTTTATTGTTTGTATGTATTGAATAGGCTCCGAAACTACTGAACCGAACCGATTTGAAAAATTCTTTCATTGTTGGGAAGCTACATTATCCCTGCTTGATATAGGCTATATTATATTTAGAAAAAAAATAGGGATCCTTACTAAAACTTCAATAATGTAACCCAAAGTGTACAAAAATTACCAAAAATATTCTTTACATCCCGTGCGCTGCGAAAACTATTGATGATAGAATGAAATAATGTACTACGACTTTGCAGAACACATCATTATTTACAAAAAGTGTTCGGACAGCATATGTCTAACTATTATGGTTATGCCACAATAAGTGTTCTTTTATTTTAAAATTTTGATTGAAATGCCGCCGCTAGAAAAGGCTCTTTATTTGTATCTTGGTATTAATTCTTATAAAAATAAATTACTTCATATTTAAGACTGTTTCAATATCTTTATATAACTTTTTGAATTATTAAATTCGGACATTCCATTCGAGAGATATCACAAGTTTAAAAATGTTAGTATATTGGAATTTAACTATCCAAACAGCTTAGTGACTGACTTAGTAGTTCTTATAATTTTTCAATCACATTTATACTGGTAATTCCTATTCGATAGTTAGCATATTAACTATTAATTACATATTAAATACAAAGGCAGTTTCATTCTTTTTATCATTTTAAAGATCTCATCTTTCTAGAAATAGTTTCCAGGCGAGGGCATCAAAAATACGTCGTAATGAGGAATCTTTATCGGAAACTGAAAATAGTCTTAAAAGTCTGAGAGAGTCAAGTAGTGTTTGCAGCGGCTTGAAGAGCATATTAATATAAATATACAAATTCACACTAGGGAGTCGAGTTCTGAGCGTTCCCAACGCCTACGAGATTAGAGGGAAAGACAACAAACGTCATCAATTAAAGTTCGTAATCGACTTTTAGCTCACAGTAACAGATCAGCTTTAATGCATTAAGCTCAACAGTCTTTTGTCCAAATTGGAGCCATGAATAAGATCTGCTCTAAGTGTTCTGCCAAAAAATGGGTCGATGAACCAAATGGTTTGTGCTGTGCTTCTGGAAAAGTTAGTCTCCCCAATATTGAGGAGCCGCGACAGCCAATAAAAAATCTTTTGACAAATATCATTCACCATCTGGACATTTTTAACCAATATTCCAAAGTGCAATAGCTTCTTTCAAATGATTTCGTTTAGCGCCAACTTTTAAAATAGAGGGACAAGTATACAAGTTATCATTATCCTCCTGCCCCTATCCCACCTAGGTGGGATCGGCACAACTATATTTTTACAACCAGCCGCCTGCCTGACATCAAGCCTCTTTGGGAAACAAATACCCACAAAACCTAAATTCAAAAATCAAATTTCAAGTCTGTACCTATCACGGTTCATGAGATACAGCCTGTTGATAGAGGAACAAACAGACAGCGGAGTCTTAGTAATAGGGTCCCGTTTTACCCTTTGGGTATGGAACCCTAAAAAGGCCCCAGAGATATACTGTTGCACGGTACACACGGCCAACTTAAAAGGGTCTCTGAGTTACACCGATTGTATGATCCACTAAAATATCTCTTAATAGTCGTAATAGGAGAAGACGGTTAATATTTGACTATTCCTCAAAAAGGTACTGTGTGCAACAAAACTGTGACATGCATGCAATTTTATGCATTTAGGTTGATGGTTAGAGCTAC